ACAAATAAAAACATAATTTATCCTTTATATAAAAGATCACAAATCAAACAAACAAACAGAGATAAGGAAAAAAATAACAAATCTCCAATAAGGAAAAAAGTAGACCTAGGTTTTCTTAAATAAATATTTTCAGATATATGTAATGCTGCACACTATTCTATTTTAATATCTTTTTTTACATTAAAGGACATAAACACGATGACATACGGTAACTAGGATATATAAATAAGAGAAATAGGTATGGGTCTCATCAATAGTTCAGTTAAGACATTCTATTAAATTTGGTATCCTTTCTGATTAAGAGAAAAAAAAAATAATCAACTCAGAACTGTATCACTAATTTACTGTACGCGGTGGATGAAGCTATGATTTGATAAACTTATTTATTTAGGATTTTTTTTTCTCTTAGTATCTCATTACAAGTACATATCTAAGCATTAACTTCATATATATTACATAAGAAGGTCTTTCAAAAAAAAAAATGATAGAAAATGTTGCTCTTTGTCACATTATTATTAATTGAAGATTAACAGAATATCATGTATAAAGCATTCATTTTTGCTAATGTGTGCAGTTTAATTCCATTTGATCATATGACCCTCAGGTTTCATCATTTTAAGATAAACCTGTTTTATTACCTTGTAGCTGACTTATCAACGTAACATAAAAACATAACAAGGTCGGATATGTGGTTGAGATTTTTCTATTAAATTTAATAATTACATGATGTTGATATGTACGTTATTCGAAGAATATAGGTATTGTTTGAATAACCCCGTGCATGTAAATACTAGCATTCCACCAGCTTAATAGACTTGTAGGCAATGCTTATTTCCCTGTTATTCTAGTTTAAAAAAATATCTTTAGTGTACATATTCAATCAAAGTCTATTATCAGAGAACGGATTTCAGCTAAAGGAATCAAGGATATGACTTAAGAAGAGACGGATTTTCATGACACATCATTCAAGTATATTCAAGCTCCAGGAAATAAACAGAGTACTTCAAATAAAGAAACACTATCTGGTCCAAACCAATGTAGAATTTCATCCTTATGAAATCGTTTAAAGTGTGTTATTTTATTCATCTCCAGTCACTAAAATGCTCTACATATTTTTAAAACAAATTGTTTTAAGTAATATTTGTTTTGTTCTTAGCAGCTTAAGTTTGCCACTATGTTTTCACAATCTACAAAATCCATAAGTGCTTTTATTTCACAATTTTTAGTAGATTATTATCCTTATCACATTGGATGTTTTTATTTTTGTTTATTTATATTGTCCATATTTGATAGTCAGTAAGCCTTAATATACATAGAATTAGAGATAAAAAAAACAAAACAAAGAAAGACAATATAATAAAGAATAGACATCCTGACTTGTATTTATCCCTACTATTTAATTTGATCGTAAATTAAGGTTATCCGTGAATAAACATTATCACCCGTACCCGGAGAGCATTAAATAAGGTGCATTTGATCACGTACCGACCCGGCTTTAAAAATTAACATGTATTTACTTTTGTAGCTGATCCCTGGAGACACTTGAGAAAGAATCAGAAGGGTAAAGGGAGGGGATAAACATTCCCTGTTATTCTACCAAATCTGTAGTGAGCCATAGCTCTGTTTTAATCAGGTAATTGAAGTAATCCGTAGTGTAATTTGCGTAAAAGCAATGGCTTAGCAATTGGTGGGAAACATGCCAGTCATAATACGACCAACAAACTCAGCCTTGCTTTAGGTGATAAGTATAACACCTTTCTTGGATGTGGTGCAAAATGGAAAGAATCCTCAAATGTATTCATAATTAGAAAACGCCATGATAAATTTCACATATATACAAGTAACACATCATCTCCTGGTACTTTAGTACACCATTACTTAATTTGTTAAAAAAAGTTACATAAAAAATGCTACTCCTTAGTCAAGCGTCCGACACTACATGTTAAAATCATTGGTCTCGACGAGACTATAAAAACCGAGGTGCAGTGCCGTTGCAGGCTTTGGCGCGACAAAGAACGTCATTGCTCAAGGACCCTTAAGACCAAGTAAAGGTTTAATTCGAAATCGTTCACCCACTTAAAATCTTACAAGAAAGAAAATGTGCTTTTTTTAATGAATGCTACATGTTCATACATGTATGCAATCCACCAAACCAACACCACCATCAACAACCCCACAACTTTCCAACTACGAGAGACATATGTACAAGAAGTAAGCTTCAGGGTTTTGAAGTGCCATCTTCACTTTTTGCATTTATTTTCTAGCAGGAATATAATAGACAATCTGGGTTAAGGGTACGGTTACTCCTTTTACTCTCATTAAAGACAATTCTCATAGAAAAAAAAACCTTTACTAGGGATCTGGATCACACAAGAATCGACTGATATAACTACTGGAATACAAACAAAAATCGCTTCTTGCACAAAAACATACCTTTACATATCTCCCCCTTCTATATATCAAAACTACCACCTACATTTAAAAGAAAAAGAGGTAAAGAACCTGGTCTACCCGGCATACAGTGCATATGTATTATATGTTAATTTCTTTCGCTACAAAGGTGAGGATTTTTTTTTCTTTTATTAAAACATAATAGGCCACATACATCAAATAGTATTAACGTTAACATTATATCAGATATCAGTATTAATAAACAATAAACAAAAAAAAAAGAAAAGAAATCAATATCATTATAATATATTTACAGAAAATCACCTTAATCAACATACATATTGCTCCTAATCTGATCAATCTTCTTGAGAACATCATCTTGAATATAAAGCATAGATTTCAGTCTATGTAGGAGATTTCTTGCAGACAATTTCTTATTTTGTAATCTACATTTCATCTTATACATAGAAAAGCTAAAAAGGCTAACAAATTATAAAAAGGCGAAGTTTTCTCACTATTTTCATCATACACGTAAAATCCAAATACAATTAATATCCAAAAAATATCAAATTTTAGAAGAAAAAAGTTAACTTTTTCCAATATGGGTTTAATAATAATTTTACAATCAAACAGGAGATGTTTGTATGAACTACAATTTCACAATTATCACACAAAGGAGAAATACCTTTGATCCACTTGCTAATAGAGACATTGTTGTTCAAAATACCATATAATAATTTGTAATTAAATTCAAATATTCTCTTCTCGTACATATGTATTACTTTCTTTTTATAAACATTTTTCCATATACAACCATCCAAAACATTAAATATTCTTTTCCACTTGTTTTTTTAAGTTGTCGTTTTCACCCTTTTTTTTAATACTTTTACAAAGAGAAGCCTAATATAAATCTTTTAAATCATTCCAGAAAACTTTATACAATTCTGCTGCTAATCCGTCTTGTCCAGGAGATTTATAAATTTTCATATATATAACCACCATTTGACATTCATGCAGTGTAATAAATTCATCGCACGCTCTCTTTTCGTTTTCTGAGATATTTTGGGCACTTAATATTTTCAAGATAGGTTTAAATATCTTGATAAGATATATGTTTACTTACACAAGATTTTTCAAAGAACTTAATAAGACTATCAATTATACTTTTATTATCTGTATGCTCTGCATGATTTTCAGCTTAAAGATCTATCTAATTTATTGTATTGTTTGAGTGTTGCTTTTTTTTTTTCAAGATTTAAGAAGTAAGATGAGCTTTTTTCTCCCCTTTCTATCCATATTGATCTTGCGCGGATATAAGATCAGCTTCATTTCTCAGCGTAATAGTCGTCGACCTCCTTTTTAACAATCGTTTATAATGCATCTATGTATTTCAGAGAAGTTTTTGGATTCTAGTTGTTTTATTTTTCTTCTTATATTTAGCTACTTTCTTTGATAATTTATACCGTCACGGTAGCTCAGTCGGTAGGGCGCTCGCTCCTTGATCTGAATGTCATGTTTTCGAATCACGGCCGCGACTGACCTAAGTCGATAAAAAAGGTAGCAACTGTTCCTTTGCCAAGTGCTCGGCACTTTGAAGTGAAAGTTGCGGGTCTTTCTGATGAGACCTTAAAACTGAGGCCTCGTGTCAGGACAGGCGTTGGCACGATGAAGAACCCTCACTGCTCAATTGCCCTGAGTTCCGAGTAAAGGTCTAGATTGAAGCCCTTCACCGAGATATGGTGACATCTATACATAAGTAGAAAACGGGACGTAAAATAATATACAATCAATCAATTAATAGAACTATTTATTCAGAAGTTTACAGGTAATCCTTATTTTTAAATGCTCCCATTTACTTATTGGATCTTTAATTTCTAGCTGTTGAATTTCTTCATGTATGAAGTTTTTTTTTACAAAATGTATTTAGCTTCCAGTAACCATTAAATTTTAAATTTTAAGTAAATTTTGAAATTTCATGTAATGTAGCCACATGATCTGAAAATCTGCTACTATCAACATTTGGTGCTTTTGTTAAAAAATATATCGCTTACTGGAAAAAAATACGTTTTCAATATAAATACTTAATCTATTCTACTCTTGGGCGCAGTATCCCCACTACACCAAGTTAAACCCTGTTTATATGTTTTTCCACAGGATATCCAATAATCTTTAATATAAAGCGTTTTCAAAATTTTCTTCAAGATATTAACACTTTTGTCATTATTTGTAACATCAAGTTGTCAGTTAAAATCACCACAAAAAATGACAAGATCTATATTCATAGTATTTTTAGTGAAGTTAATAAACGTTTTTTTTTTATAGAGAAGCCACTTTTTACACAAATTTAATATCTATTTAAAAAAAGGTAAACAACTGAGACACTATGTAAGCATATAGTATTGTACATCTAAAAAGATCATCCAGAGATTGAGATTCATCCAGGATGCCCCGTCGCCTGATTTTTTTTTATATATACTTTAAAGGAAAATACATGCATTTTAAAGATCAGTATATTCATATTTAAAACACTTGATAGTTACATTATTTTAGAAAGCCATTGAGTCTTCTTTACTCGAATAAAGTATTTTTTTTACTTCCCTCTTTTTGAAATGGCTGCCTTGTGGTGGATGTGGCTTATTTCTTATCCAGGAGTATTTCACTGTTACGGTAAGTAACTGAATGTTTTTTGAAATTTCTGACATTTGAAATTATCTGTTCAATATGTCGCTCCAATAGTCACAGTGATTCGTGTAAATCAGTCTTAATCGAGAGGCTACGTTTTTGTATCCTAAAGTAATTGCAGTTTTACAAAATCTCTGATAGCGTATGTATGGTACATGTGTATATTGTAGAAAACTTCATTGTATTTATTTAATAATAATAATAATCAACTTAGCCAATGTTTTGTATTCAATTTCCATAAAAGGTTAAATAAATCATTTCTGACTATAATGATTATAAAATGTCTAAAATGTTATTTTGTTTTTTTTTTCTCCCTAACTTTGGAGTTTCGTATTCTTATTACAATAGAGCACATCTAAATATATTTTAATTTAGAAACATGAAATTTATTATTATAAAAAAGATATTTAAGTATTTCAGTAATCTTATACCCCATTCATACGACGAAAATTTGCTTATGTGTGCAAATTTACACATGAGTTAATTTACACACATAAGTAAAAGTTAATTTGCTCTGCGTTCAGACGAGTTTTATGTACTGTAAGTAAACCCTCATATTGTCATATAAAAAAAACGAGATGGACAGATTTAGAATTGTGAATTTTCACAGAAAAGGGGTATTTCCTTACTATTTGGGTAGAGGACTAACTTTTGGATGTTCCAGAAGGAAACTAGAAGAAAAATCATATCCACTGATTGGCAGACCGAACCGTTTACAACTTTAAGTATGAAGATTGGTATGAGTTCAAAAAATGAAGGAAAATTTCTTAAAACTTTGTGAAAAGTTGGAAAATGCTTTGATCCCGACCCAAAGACTGTAGAAGAGCCCTTGGATGTGAAGAAAAAGGTGGCTGTAACCTTCTACTTGTTAGTGTCTTCAGCGGTATAAAGGACGATTTGAAATCTTTTTGGTGTTGGGAAATCTACCGTGTTTGATTGCAAACGTCAAGTTTGCTAGGCCATAATGGAACATCTGCTTGAAGAATGTGTATTTTCCAGTAGGAGAATGAAAATGGTGAAGATAACAAACTGTGATCGATCTTAAAATCTTTAAACAATACAAATATGTAAAGAGGGAATACACACAGACCCCCTGGTAATTCCAGAGGTGGGATCAGGTGCCTGGGAGGAGTAAGCATCCCCTGTCGACTGGTCACACCCGCCGTGAGACCAATGTAATGATCAGGTAGACGGAATATTCCATAGTCAAATTAGTGAAAAATAAAGTCCTAACAATTGGTATGAAACAAGTCAGCCAAAACACGACCCTGAGATTGGTTATATTTGCTAACAATATCATTATAGTCATTATAGCCCCCATAGAGTTATTTTCCGTCAGTCTCCATATTGGACATCAACAAGCCCAGATTCCTTCATTATTCAACCAATTTAAATTTGTCATACTGGACAATGATGCAATTTAAGAAAACAGTTTTTCTTACGAATATATGTTAACAAAAGGTTCCTTTAATTCATGAGTTTAGTCATTTAAAGATTTTTGCCCTTATATTTCTGCCAAACAAGTTTAAAATTGGTTGGTCAAAGAGGAAAATTTACTAGTTTGACCCCCAAGATGGTGGCCAAGTGAAATATTTCGAATGGAAAATACTTCATACGAAAACTATCTATTTACGAAATGCTGACTTTAAACAAGGTTGTTGACATCCCCGTAACATCAACTTATCTGTCAGTAGCCTGCCTCGGTTTAAAAACTGAAAAAGGATGAAGAAAGTCATCAAGGGCTAAACTGTGGTGAGGCGATTGATGCACACATATTCCTATAATTACTCCTAAGTTTTCACATGGAGACTACTTGAACAGGATGGGGTTCGGGGTTCTACTTATTGAATTTGCAGGATGTTTGCGACCACAGCTATACCTTTAGAGACATAAAAATCGGTTTGGCAGGAAAGGTTCATGATAACCGCTTTTTTGCAAATTCAAAAATTTATTTCAGAGTAGATAATGGCTCCTTGTTTCCAGTGGAGAAAGCAATTTGGAGAAAGTACAATGCTAGAAAGTAGTACTTCTCGGCGACCCAGCGTAGCCTTTGAAGACTTGGCTTTTGAAGCCATACACCAACAGATATACCCTTAAACAAATTAAATTCACTCTGAACTATAGTTTCAGTAGAGCGAGAATGGCCATTGAAAATCCGCATTTTTAGAGCTTTGCTTTCTAGCCACCATCTTACCGACTGATATTTTACACGCCAATGCATACACAACAGTAACAATGCTTAAAATGGAAATTGATGCAATACACAAGACGAAAAACTTACATAAGTAAATTTGCTGCATGTTCATACGACAAAATTTACACACTGGAGCAAGCAATTTGCGACAAAGTGTATGCAAAAGTTAATTTGCACCTTGTCCTGACCAGGTGCAAATTTACACAACTGTGCAGAATTTGCATATGAGCAAATCAGTTCATACGACAAAAATTGCACATGTAAGTAAATTTACATATGTGTAAAATATACTGAAGTATGCAAATCGTGTCGTATGAATGGGGTATTAGATGATAATTATTCAAAAACTGTTTTTGCAAGAATGTGGATAAATGTATTAGAATAAAAGTATTAAATTGTTTAAGGAAATTATATAAATTACTTTATCTATTTGCTATTAGAGATGAAATAGATGTAATGTAATTCCATTAATATACAGTTAACATATGTGAAACAACTACATGTGAGGCCATGCAAAGTTCTATAAGAAATGGCTTATCAGCAGAAAAAGTGATCGACGGAAATATTGAACAAAATGAAAATAAATGTTCACATACTGCTGTAAATAAAACAGAACCAGCATGGGTTATGGTTGACTTAGGAAAAGAATATCAACTGAATAACGTTATTATATATTACAGAGATGAAGGTAAGTATAATTCTAGTAAGAAGAGACAACATGCTTAAAACTTTATGATTTGCATTGCATTATATGTGGATGTGTAGTACATGTACGAAGAGTTTCTGCAATGAATTGTGAAGGGGTATTTATCTGATTTGTCGGTCTATCCCACGTTAATTGGTGCTCCATTTAGCACACATGTTAATTCAGCCTGACGCCAGAAAATATAGTTTTCCATGCGAGCATGACTGTCCAAATAGGAATTTTAATGAATAACTTAAAAAATAAAAAAGAATTAAGAAATACAAGGTACTTACTGAAGATATTAGAAAGAATTCTAAAAAGAGGATTTAAAAACCATTCAACTGACAGTGCACAGTGGTGAAAACTAAAACGTAACATAACATTTCCTTGTCTACCACTTGCTAACTACACAAGATTATAGGTATGCTCGGTGCACCGCCTTGATGTCAAAATCTATTTTGTGTTCGTAATCTGATTTCTATAGATTCCTTTTCTTCTGAATCCATCAAACTTGCAAAAAATCAAGTCAAAATGAAATTAAAAAATTATATGTATAATTTGAATTACCGTATAGGGAGAATTTTTAGCGAGGATCCAATTTTTGACAAATTAGCTAAGATTCTAAGATCGCTAAAATTTAGTTTCGCTAACATTTTATTCCATATTTGTTGTTATTGCTTTTTCTCCTGACTTTATAAGATCGCTTAAACTATTTCTCCCTAAGTGTATATACCAAATTTTGTGGATCAATCGGTCAATTTATGTCTCGCTAAAATTTCCACTTATACGGTATTTTCGCTCAAACTATTGTTCCACCGGGAGTTTGAACATTGGTGTTAAATATTTTCAATATCTGATTTCGTGACTGCGCCGGGAACCCCTACCATTGACACATTAATATACCATTGAAAAAAAAAGAAATAAAACATTTGTAAAATATTTCGTTTTATTTATTCATAGTTTTTGTCAAACTTATGTGCCAACTATCACCAAGAGGGGTTCATTCAAAAGAAGAAAAACACAGTCTAAATAATTTCCGAACAGCCTTCGTATATATAAGTTATACTTCATATTTCGGAAATGCTAGTTTCTTTATAACAAGTTTCTTCAAATACTTATAAGGAGATAGCTTATTGTGACAGTAGATATAAAGTTGATAAACGCTTTTCTCAAAACCGTAAAGAAAGTTGACACGACTTATTTTTTTAAATGTTTTAACTTAGTAAACGAATTCTTGTATCTTTAATAGGTTCATAGGGGTGTAAGCCATATTCGCACCAGTCAACAACTGTAAAGGTCAAAATGTAATTTCGAACAATATTATTACTAAAATCTTATAAAAAATAGGATTTTGCTAAAATACCTTGTTCAAAATGAACATCTCAATTTAATTTCAAAAAGCCGGTTGCGGTACTGACTAGACGTCGCTTCTGACTGTGAGGTGTGCGTTTGATTCTTGATCCGGGGATTATTTTTCCACTGTGACCCCCCCCCCCCCCTCAATGGTACAAAATTGTGTTTTGACCAGAAAAAAGAATAAAAGTTCAAGTGATCTTTTCTGATAACATTTTATCTTCTGTCCGTCTGTCCCTTTGTCTGTTTTTAAATCCTCTTTTACAGAGGTACTTGACGGATTTAACCAAACTTGACACAATGCATTTTTTAGGCGAAAAAAAAAATCAAAATTGGAAAAAGGAAGGACCATGCCCTCTTAAAAGTAGAAATAATAAAGGAAAAGCAAATAAAGGGAGCTTATGTAAAAAAAAAAAAAAAAGAATGAATGAGCAAGAAAAGATGAATTATCATCAAATATTAAAGTTCAAACATAGACACAAGTTCTTTCAACTGACGAATGAATCCTTTCCTTGAAAATCTTGAAATGGTTTCAATGACTTTAAAGCACATAGAAATGTACGAGATGGCATTTGTATCATTACAAAATGTAACGTGATTTAAAAGAGAGTTTTGCTTTATTCAAATTTAATTTACCCAGTCCATGACGCAGAGAGTTACATGCTTCTTTTGGTAAAATTGATATGGCTATGCAACCTATCGTTCTATGGTCAATTCGGTGAGCATTGTTTTTGTATGTTTGTTAATTGATTAACATCCCATTTTTTTTTTACTTATTTTTTACTTATATGGAGACGCTACCACTAGCCGGTGGAGGGCTAAAAATTTATACCTATACTCGGCATTCAGGGTCATTGAGCAGTGAGGGATCTTTTTCGTGCCAACACCTACTGGACAGAGGACCTCGGTTTATACGGTCTCATCCGAAGGACCGGTCTACACGTTCTGCAGTGGATTCGAACCCGCGACGTAAGAATAAGCTGTTTACTTCGCGATTCTAGAGCAGACGCTCTAACAACTGTGCCACACGGGCGACTGGTGAGAATTGTAACCCTGGTATTAATAAATCAATTTCAAACATCATTTTACATAAAACATGCAAAAAGTATTTTCTTTAAGAACAAAAATGAAAGAAGGAGATACGTACTATGTATTTCATACTTACTGGTATTAATTACCTTGGGGAAAACAGTGAATCTAAAAAATTGAATTATTCTTTAACATTCATACTCTACAAATTTTTACATGTATTTTTTGTATGACTTTAGCTCCCATTTGTTAATCATCTTATAAAGCATTGATTGCCAGAATAAAATGACAAAATTGCATATATTACCTGCACCTTATATTCAATTTTCCTAATTAATAGAGATTGATTATTATGGCAAGCAACATTTACTGACCTCTTGTTAATCTTTGCTATAAATTTTTGCAATATCTTAACAGTTTAGATATTTTCAATATTATAGATCAGAATTTTTCTTTCATGGAAAAATTGACAAAAGTGAAGGGAAAATACGAGGGTTGTCCAAAAAATTCCTGGGCGATGACGTTTTTGTCAAAATGAATGGTTCAAGATATATGTATTGTAAATCAAAATGTTAGTTATGAAAATCCAAGTCAGAATAGTTTGATTTTTATAGTTTGAACTCAATATTTTTGAAAAAAAATTAAGGTCATTAAAGGTCGCCGATAGTGCGCAGGGCCCAAGGTTTAAATGCCATAAAGTGTTCTGCTTAGAATGATTTTATTTTAATATAAAACAAGTCAAAGCTGAATGAAAATTCAACGTGTTGCAAATAAAGCGGCTATCGCCATTTTCTAATATCTTTAGCATCGCTTACTTAATAGACAGAGGGAATACTGAGCAAAAACCGCAAGAAGTATGTTACAAAAGTTGACAGAAAACGCGACGTAGGCCATTCGAACGAAACAGCATTCAATCCTATAATCATGATTTAAGATGGTTGAAACGACGTCAGACACAAAATATTCTTTCAAACAACTTGCAATTATTAGAATATATTTAGTTCATTGATTTGTTATAGGTGTATACGATTTTTCAGCGGTGTGTAAAGTTTCGGAGACACTAGCAGAAGTAGAAAACCACTGTCATTTTATGAAAATATGATATTCCTATTCATGATGTTGTAATAAATCTAGCGCTGCTGGACTGGGTTGTGCAACCTGTGTATACGAAATGTTTATATTGATATTAAATTATCGTGCATTGTTTTGAATTTCAAAAATTAGATTAATTATGGTCTATGCATAAATATTTTTGCACACATTTGGCAGTGTGGCATAATAAAGACAATTAGCGTGTGTCCATGAACAAGCGGTAAAAATTCAAAATCTATATTTTTGACATTATCATGAAATTAGCGTTACGTCAGATTGAGCCGTGTGGCTTGCAAAAGTATACAAAGTATTCACCTAAATGTTCATTAATCATGGTCTATATTAAGATATTATCGTATTGGACTTTATTAAGAAAATTAAGCATATGTAAACGTACTTTTTGGACAACCCTCGTAATATAATACATGCATTGACACCCTTTATAAGTAAAATTTATGAAGTGAAGGAAAAAAATAACACATGTTTGGGAATATTGCCATACCTTTAGGAAACCTTCAAACAGCCTGGAAACCGTACCGATTTAGGCAATATGGCATAGAGGTATCCAATACCTCTCATGCAAAACAGTGGACCCTATGTTACAAAGATAACACAACGGATGGTATCACACCTTCAAGTATGCAGAATATCTCATGTGAAAAAGCAACCAGATACATACGAATTATAACAACTTATGATGCTCCTGAAGATAATAAATATGGAATCACGGGTGCTGTGCTTGAAATATGTGAAATTCAATTTTATGGTAAGACAAACTTTTTTTACTTTAATTCTGGTACAAGATCGTAGACAAAAAATATACATTGTATTTCTTTTTCAAACTAAATTTTTCAGGAAAAAAAAATAACTTTAGGTTGAAGAATAAAAAAAGGCGTGTTTGTTTCCACCAATAAGTTTGCCATTCATTCAGGTTCTCACCCAAACGAAATCAGGGGTCCTGAGTCCATCTCTTGGGATCCTTCAAAAACTGCATTCGAATTGGAGGGGGATTCTTGTCTCATTGATAGGCACCAATGGGGTTTCCTAAGTCGACAATAAATATAAACATGAAAGCAGATGTCATATCAATACCCGTATCACTGGTGTTTTGTCATATACTAATATCATTGCTCCAATTCTTTTAAAAAGTTCTTTTAATTCTTTTTTTTTTTAAATAAAAATTTAGAATTAAAAAAAGAAATCAAATGAAAGTGTATATATATAAGTAAAAGCCCTTGTAAATGAAGTATCACAGCTTTACATAAGGTTCTCATCTTATACAGGGTGATCATGCACGATAACGCTAGGTATATATTGAAATATTAATGTAAAATTATAATGACTGAGGCCAAGTTTAAGATGATGTTTATTCCCCCCTCCCGACTCATGGGGGAAAATTGGGCCAGAAAGTACACGAGAAAATATTTTTTGAAATATATATATTTTTTTTATTCTTAATGCCGAACTTTCCCTGTCTACTTTTCGGAATGAATTAAAAAAAATAATTGCTTCCTGGAGGCCATCTTTTTGCCAGTCGGTCTGGAGAGGGCAACCAAGCATTTTTTTTTTAAAGATGGTCTGATCGACATGATATGAGATGTCATAGATTTTGTTAAAATACAGACCATCCTTTTTTGGGGCTTAAATTTGAGATGTTATACAATTGTGAACTCTTTCGTTGGTGAATATGGTTTGTCATTCACCAGAAAAATATCTGGTGAAGCCTCAGTCAATATTGACATTTTTTTTTCTTGTGAATAACAAACCATATTCAACACCAAAAGAATTGAAGACTGGGTAACGATTCCATTTTCATTAACAAACTTCTTTTCTAGAAAAAAAAAATGTACAAATTACAACTCATAACTTCCGTGCTTTCCTTTCGCTGTGCATCAGACATCAAATTGTTTGGAAAATAAACTTGCGATAGACTTGTCTTGCAATTTTCCTGCTCAGATATTCAGCTGGTTCCAGCCGTTGCAAACCATTGTTTTTTTTTATGGTTGTTTGAGGTATTTATTCAAATCCAATGAATATGTAGTATTATGAACTGTTTGCGTTTATAAAGATTATATAAGAAATATTTATAGACTATATAATAGTTGTGGATATGAGAAAAAAATCTGTATCATCATCTGTAGCATGAATTTATTTCAATTAGAGAAAGATATACACCGAGTAACTTTTTATCTGCTGCAGAACTTCCGAAAAACATGCATGCAAACATAGAGGCGGATATACAGAGAAAACATGGTTGAGAACATAAACTCTTACATTATATTCTTTAGAGAAAGCATCATAAAAGCAAACAAAATGTGCTTGCCATTTTGCCCGTTGTTGAATGAGAAGAGAGTATTTAGTAGGTCATAAAAATATTGCCAATGCGAGAAAAGCATTGTTGGAAAACGACCTTTAATGCGATTTGTTAAAACTGAACGCGATTCGTAAAAGAAATTTGTCCGCCATATTCGATATCTGAGGTCCCCTATATATAGAGCCGCTCACTTAGTCACTGTTCAGTGTAATCATTCGTCACCGGTGTAGTCGGAGGTATGCTTTATAGCACTCGGTAGCGACAAAAAAAATATGTTTACTTCTAATGCAGGAGAGTAAGATACCAAAGGGACTTACAACAGTTGCACAGGTCAGTGCAGTAAACAACTGCAATAAAACGTAAACAAAGGTAATACAAGATAACTAGCACGAACACGGTTCGCCATTCCACGCCGATACGCCTGACAATAAAGCAGTCAGGTGTATCGGATGCGAGGAGTATACCATGGTGCCGATATCATGGCTAGTAATATCAAAAATAGCGTATGCCTATTTACGAGTCGTGTTCAGCTTTAATTTCCCAGTTTACATAACATTTATTGTTAATCCGGAAATGTAAGTTACATTATAAATGTCTCATATTAGACCCGCTTATTCAAGAGTACAATTTTTGTGCTAAAATAACAATGGGTAGGATGTATTATAAGCAAACTTCGGACCTTAGATTGAGACGAAGAAGCATTTACTTAGTTTTACACAGATATGACATTATTATTTTACAAATACTTTCAAGGATGTCTTCCTGGGTATTATGGTCATGCATGTCAGCCGTGTAGCAAGAACTGTGGCGATAGCTCTTGTGATGGACGTGACGGTAGATGTATCAAAGGATGCAGTCCTGGATATTATGGATCCTATTGTAATCGGATCTGTAGTAAAAACTGTGAAAACAAAATCTGTAATCAGAGATATGGCACCTGTTCCTGTGTCCATGGATGGAAGCCACCATATTGTAATGGTGAGTACAAAAAATGCTGGTGTACTTTACCAGTATTTTCTATGATACCCTATACTACTTCTTTAATAATGTTAATATATTCAGTAATGCTAAAAAAAAACTTTATTTAAATTACCTCATATCTGATTTTATATAGCACAACGTCGAGAAAATGTCTCAAAATTCATTTCATACAGGGTTTGTAGCGTCTTCCCCATTCATAAAAAAAACGTTTCCATAACACCTGACACCTAGTTTGCTAACAATTGTTCGAGTAGCTTAAATTAAATATCAATGTTTTCAAATTCTTTCCTGCATAACTCTGCTTTCACAAGTTCCACAACAGTGAAGCGCACATCACGTTTCATGACGTTACTCTCTCTTTTGACATTTTTTAAAACTATAATATGTTTCTTCGCAGAACACCCATCGTCCGATTCAAAGTCTCTAACACTCAAAAATTATCTTTTCCATTATGTACAGATGCACGGCTCACTTTTTTAAAAATTTATTTCCTGGTTCCTCCAGCATTCTCAGAGTTGGTATTAGACGTTTCCCGAATGAATAACAAAAATTTATATTTCCTCGCTGCTCCGTGACGTCCTCCGTCATTTTTTTTTTTTAACAAAGTCTATCTGTCTTAAGAAATTGATATCTTTTAAACTAAGCAATGTATAACATTAAATTTTAGTATGTGAAGTAATATTTAAATTTTACTTGTACCATAGGACTGGCGATTAATTCAGATTTTACTTTGATGTTGCTGTGGTGTATTTGCCAGAAGAATCACAGTTTTTTTTAGTCACGCCCATTTTTGGCAGCAAGCCATAGTGTCAAGACCTTGACTTATGAATGAATGATCAGTGTAAACTTTAGACCTTGCTGCTGAATGAATGATGTCAATTTCAGTCATAGTTTGACAGGACATTCAAAGCTGCTGAATGAATGATGTCATTTTACACAAACAACCTTGCACAACTGCACTAAATAGACTTAAAATAAATACAATTCATTCCAAATACAAATTAAAACATTTATAAATTTACATTTAATTATGCTATAAAAGTGTTTCAACTTTGATTTCACATTTCTTTTTAATTTCTGTGTACCTCACAAAGTTTACCAAAAAAAAAAAAACAACCAAAAAAAAAAAAAAAAACAAAACCAAAAACAAAATACACACATGATTGATTACTCAGGAATTTAGCATTGTACTGTCAAAATTTGAACTCAAACACACAATTGTTATACGCAGTAACACCAGTGCAGGCAGATTTAGAACACATCCTCTCGGTGAATTCGGACTCCTCCATTTCAACTTTCTCGCGTTTCACAGGTGGTTCCAAAACATTCGAAATTTCTTCCAACATTTCGGCTGAAGGCCTCTTGTATTTTCTTACGCTTTGTACACTACGATGCCCAGTACGGCCCATTATTTCCTGCTCGTAATTCCAGCTTGATAAAGTTGCGTTACACAGGTTCTTTTCCCTGAATGGTTACTGAATGCGCCTTTGAGCCCCCTTCCTCACAAATACTTTTCATAAGCTTTGACAACTTATTGACAACAAGACACTGATTACTAAATGTTTTTAAGTTATTATTGTTTTCCAGAGGACGCCTATAAAATGGTTCAGAACCATTCCCACCAGTAGAAATCATTCGAACAAGTTGAATTTATTCCTCGCGAATAAGGAAAAGCTTTGGGTCAGAAAACACGTGCTTAATAGTTTTGGAGAAATGTGCCTTTCATTCAGCCCACCTAAAATTAAAATACCAATTAAATTTCTCATATTTTTTTTCTTTCCTATGAAACTTTTTTATTTCTCAGTCACAAATGTGTTCAGACCCCCCCCCCCCCATTTTTTTATACATGTAACATAAAACAAACAGACAATTGAGAAAAATCTTCAGATATTTAGCAACAATAATTGAAAAGGAGGATACGCTTAAATATTGTCGCAATTTATTTACTCTAGGAAAGAAAATATAGATATAAACCTAGAGGGTGTAACTTACCCTTCTAGATTTTGTTAACTCTCCCATAGAATGTAAAACTCATTGGCTCTTTGTCCAGTTGAAATTGATTCAGCTCCAAGTTTCTATGTTCGTCTGTCCCCCTCATCCCAAACAATTTGCAATTTGCAATTGTAGAAGAAAACTGTACATAAAATTGATTTTGCTGTTCCTGATCCAAACACTCCTCCTCATTGTCACGAGATATGGGGTCCTGTTGATGTGTTACTGTTCCAACACACCTTGCACTCAAATTACGTCGAAACGGAAAGAAAACTGGATTTTTTCATCTAGAAAATTCATAAAGTTTCCGCTTTCTTTTTGTACCCTCATCAGTCCGGCACAAAGTTGACAAGGTTAGCTTTTTTAAAAAAAGCTGAGAGTCAGCCACTGGAATACAGAAAGTTTCTTCTTGTTTTGT